ACAACACGCCGCTCAGAAATTGTTTTGAAAAATTTTTGAGCGGGTGACCCCCACATGAGCGCGTGTTAGATGGTAGTGTGAATGCTGTATAACAATTGCTACGCAGAAACCCTAAAAAAGGATTCCGATGTTTAAAAATCGCCATATTGTTCCGCTTAGACCGAACATGAAAGGCTGGTGGTTAAACTGCATTTGAAACAGTGACAAATCATTCCCTGCTTTCTGGGAATTCGATACCAGGTGAACAACAGTACTCAATACATTTGTCTGATCACAATTACTTCATTAAAACCCCTTGGCGTTGTGCGGACATATCTTGGTGGTAAGAGATAAAACGAAGCACTAGGTGCGATACTCGGATGATTTAAACGCTATGACGGCGAACCTCACCGGACGCCGAAAGTGTAGCGCTTAACACGTCCGCGTTAACCACTGCGCGTCTGAAAAACCGGAGGTACAGGGTCCGATTCCCCAAGGTATCTGTCCTTCCTGCCAGAGTGAGAAGCAGGCGACGCCGTTTAGCCACAGCAGCTGAATGTGTCGTAGTGTTCTAATGACAGCAGAGCTTCTAACCATTGATGGAGCGAACGCCTAACGGCGTGGGAAAGCGTTTCACGTGTTTAGAAGTATTTCATTAGCGGGTCTCGCGTCATGCAAATTACGATGGACGAGGAGGCAGTTACACAGTGCACGGTGACATTGGGCTTCCTTATACCCGGAAGAGCTATACATTCGTCCAGCATGTTATGAACGCCCTTACCTTCAAACAGCTCGCTGGCAACGCGGATGCGTGACTTCTAGCTCTGTACCGGCATCATCCACGCGGCACTTCGGGTGCTGAACCTGGCAGTGGAGGTGATGGGCCCGCTGGGGTCCATCACCCGTCTCTGCTTCAGCGAGATAATATTGTAGAGTGGACGGTCGCGTGTCTAGCTTATTTTGCAAAAAGAGAAAAAATGCGATATATTTATCTGCGATGCTGAAAATGAATTGCCAGGCGGTCGTGAACGAGGTTGTGGTGTGCTATCAGACAATATTCAGTTTCCACCTCGGGCAAGCATTTGCCTGGATTCGCTGGCACAGGTAGGGCGAACCAGCGGGGCCTTGCTTACCCTTCGCATCATAAAAATAGCTCTCGTTAGGCGACAGGTCTGGTAAATGACCAGACATTAGTTGAACGAGCCTGGCCAGGCTGGGGTTGTGGCTCCGACTGAGTAGCTTTTAGATTCTAGTGCTTTTTAGCCGACAGAGCCCCACATATATATATATATATATATATATATATATATGACAGCCAGAAAAGTAAGAGATACGTGCATACTTTGTTGCTAAAATCCCCTTGGTTAAATAGGTATCTGGCCATTTGGCCTTGGGTGATGCGCCCGTCCGGGGCGGTTTATAAATGGTGAATTTGGCCTGGAAGTTTGAAAGATCCCCTCGTGGCAAGTTCACCAAAGTGCCGCAGTTGTGACATACGAAATAGACTGGTAGCCCCGAAGTGCAGTTTTGAGTCCATTCGCTACTCTGGTACTCGCATATGTTTCCCTGTGCCGAGTGTATGGTGGGAACAAAACGCGGCGGATCGTCTTCCAATAGCCTGCTTTATGAGCCCCATATTAAAGCCCTAGATCCTAAATTACTCTTAAAAGGTGGATATAGCTGTAGAATCTCTACTTATCTCCTCCTAATCTGCCTTGACCGTTTTACTCACCACACACCGCACGTTACTTGCGATCGTCTTTGTCTCTTGCCGCAAATTCGGCCGTTCTGGCCCCGCCCCCCTTCCCTTCTCCCGTCAACAGGCCTCGGTGATGTTAAATAGAACCAGCCTGAAAAAGCGCCTTCTCTGTCTCAGACGAAATTTGGAACCGTCTGATTGCCACCTGGAGTCAAATCTTTCAGAAACCGCTGCAATATGTTTCTAAATGCAATCAACCACAAAAAGCGCAGGCAAATTAAACCATCGGCATAACCATCGAACGTTTTCGTTTCGGGTGTTCATTTGCACTGAGGTTTCATTTTCTGGTCATCAGACACTGAAGGAAGGTTGACACCAACTTAACGGAATCCTCAGATGAAGGCATGCTAAACATAACCGGCCTAAAGACATGCAGTTTCCCATTCAGTGGGGGGGGGGGGGGCGGGGTAGGCGAGATGGTGCCTCCTTACCAGGGATGCAGTTTTTGGTCATCATTTTAATTCTTTATTTTTCGTTTATCATAATTTTGGGCTCAGCCCCTCAAAAAGGTAATTTTGAGAAACTATACCTCTGCTGCCAGATGCGAAAGATTACGTCAAATCTGGGGAGAAAGCTGTATACTGCGGACAAAACTGCATGCTGAAAACTGTACAGTTTACTGTGACTGTAAGCTGTGTACTGCGGCATCAAGTGCATTTCGAAGGCAGGCTCAGCCATTTTTTTTCCTGTGACGCCCCTTTCGTCCCTCTCCCCTACGTGCTTTGCAAAACTGCATCTCTGCAGCCCTACATTTACCGATAGCATGGCCCTACAAGCATCTGAAACAATATCTCTTTTGCTTCCGTGACGTCGCCGTGCAATCAGCTGAAAGCGTTGGCGACCTACATCATCTTGGCATAAGCATTGCTGGTGCAGAACTCGTACTTCCTGACATGATCACAATTACTTGGGGCAAACGTCATGCGATTTTGGTACCAGCAGATGCAAACGACATTTTTGAATGCATCTAGCACCTTCATCTAGCTTTATATGCAGTGTGATGGCAACTAAAAGTGTTTTATTGCATGCCTGCCTGCCGATCAGTGCGCTAAATCTGAGGTGCAACGGGCAATATGAGTGACCTACACCAGTGATGCTCGGCCTCTCACTTCAAAGCCGCGGCTGCTCTCAGTGGCAGGAAGCTCTGGATGAATCCTTGACGTATGTCGCTTCAACGACCTCCGCTTACCTCTGAAGCTTTAGCTCAGGTATCCACGAACAACAATCCTAGATCGGGAGGGTTTTCAACGCTACTATTTAGAAAAGCTGACGATTGGCTACGTCCTTCTAGCCAGTCAGTGTCTCACGACATGAACACTATCGATAGTAGCCCACGTCCCTACACTGAACCCAACGCATTACCGTGTGGCGAGCAATCAAGCCCATCTGTCTTAAATGGTATGACGCTTGAAAACGCTGCGTAGCAAATTATTCACGTTTGTCGCAAGATGCTGTGACCAGCCACGATTCTTACAACTAGTTATAAGCCCAGCTATTTGGTGTTCTATACTGTTTAGGTCGTGAAGTGAATTTTGACTGAAAAGTCTGTGCAAGCACTGACCTAAGCGACATTGGAAAAGCTCTTTGACACCACTGATCTGTGACGTCAGCTGTGATATGTATAGTTTATAGTATGGTTCTGCCACTTGCTAAAAACTATCCTGATTTAAGCTATTATGTTTGCCAGCACGTTACGGCTCAACTTGCTCATACAACGTCACGTCAACGTTCCGACATGTGCTCACGCTTTAAGCGTGAGCGAGTACATAGCAATAATAAGGTACAATTTTGTCGAGCTGGGATAATCTGTTGTAGAATTGTCTTGTCTGTTGAAATTTGCTATTATTTTTGCAATTTTATACCAGTTGGCCCGAAAAAATGTCATTTTTTGCTACCGATCATATCCGGTAACCCAGAAGCGTTTTCACTCTTGTCTAGAACCTTGATAGATGCATGCGCAGCAGGGACGAAACTACATGGGATGTATTGCCTTGACCCAACCCATTCAAGACAACCTGTGTCTTCAACGCGCTGATTGTCTCCCGTCGACCCCTCTTGTTAAAAAATCAAGCTCCACAATTTTCTGTATCGTTCAACTCAGTTTTTATGAGATACTGAACGTTTCAATGTTAAATGTCGGGACACAAGGATTCATTCTCACAAGGTGATGAGATGAACGAATGCTCAACTGCTTCAAAAATGTTCCTTTAGTGAGTGCCTAAAATGCATTTATTTTTGTCCCCAAAACATTCACGCGTACTTCTGTACGAGCAGTGAGGCTACTCTCATTCTTTTAAAATGTCTAGCCGGCTGTTATTTAATGCATAATCGAATTCAGTACGAATGCTGCCAATATCCGAATTGCGCATCTGTTAAGCATCATCATCGTCAGGCGCCATCAGGAATCTGTTGACGTCGCGACCTCTCACGTGAGACTTCATAGCATCACAGCGAACGCGCCCCAAGCTGACGTGTGCGCGATCGTGCACACAATTCGGGATCGAACAGACGGACAGGCGAGTTCGCTGGTCAGTTAGAACACCCGCTAGATTCATACTGGGAATAGCCTGCGAGTTGCATGAGCTTACTCCGTTTGGTCCCACCGTATACTCTACCAAACGCCAGCGGCTGCACTTGCGTGAAGTCGTTTCCGAACTCGGGACCAAGCGTGTCGCACATTATGCGCGCCCAGCTGCTCTTCCTGATCTCCGCCAGCTGGGCGGCTGTAAAACTGTGCGGAAAGCCGCCGTTGTCGTAGAAGAAGCGGTCTCCGAAACGAACGTCGAAGAACTGTTGTCCGATCAAGCACTGGAAGGTGGGCCCCACTTGAGCACCAGCGGCTCGCCGTTCAGCCAGACCGCCGATGAAGAGGTCCACATCCTGTGGGTCATCGTAGAGGGAGCGCAGCTGGTCGATGGCCCTGGAGCTCATAAGGCGGTTGAGGTCGCCCCAGCTGGAAACGGTGTCGCCCCTGCAGGCCTTCAGCACGGTCACGTACGTGGGGATTGCGTGATCACGTCCTCGTTGGATGTTGAGCGAGATCAGGTCCAATCCAAATTGGAAGTTGGTCGTGAACAGCTGTTCATGGACACCACTGATGACGTTGGCGTCGAATGTCTCGGGTCGCGTGGCCACCAGAGTCCGCGCGTGCTCGACGAATCTCTGTCCCACCACAGTCGGATTGAAAAACGTCTTCGTAACATTAACAGATTGGATGATGTCGCCGTTAGCGTTGATCAGGTGATACATGTCACGCAGCAATGAGTGACCGAAGCGGAAGGCAGCAGTCGCAAACTCGTTGGATGCGCTTGGGTCTACAAGCTCATCGTAGAAGGTGGAGAAGCCGGAAGTCATCGGCAGCAGGTCATGATTCCGGGCGTAGTCGAACCCAACAATGATTGGCAGCCACTCGTTGTAGATGATGTGCTGCCACTCGGCGATCACGATCCGCCGCGCCTCCTGGAACAGCTTCTCGTCGTCCCAGTTGCGGTGGATCTGCTTCAGTGCGCCTGCCACGCGGTTGTGCTCACGTGTGAAGATGGTGTGCATGACGGTCAGGGCGCTCTGCTCATTGACACGCGACTCACCACCACGGAAGCAAACGCTGGCGTCGTTCACGCACGGCTCCTGTATTGCGGCCTGACGACGTTGACGTGCTGATCGCTTCCCGAGTCTGGAGTACGGGCGGCGGTGACCGGGGCGGAAGGTGGGTCGCGGCGTGGTGCGCTGGCGGGCTGGCGTACTGGAGAGTGGCAGCAGGTTGTTGTTGGAGGTGATCAACAGGCCGTCACTGAAGGTACGCAGTCCGTCCTGTTCCTCCTGCTCGCTGCCGTACAGGTTGGAAGCGTCCAGGTGCGAGGTGAGCTCATTGATGGGCGTAGAAGGGCGTGCGATGCAGTCCAGGGACGGTGCCGGCAGCGAACGCACCAGGCTCATGCAGCGCTGGCCGAACCGGCTGTAGAACGGGTCGTCGACCGGGATGGGGATAGGGATGCACTGCGGGTGCAGGGGTGTTGTCGGCAGCGTGCGGCCGTCATCCTCGCAGCACTCGATGCTGCCAGCGGCGCCCAGGTTGAAGACAAGCGCGTGGTTGAAGTCGTGGTCAACAAACTGGCCCCACTGCATCACGGACAGGGTGAAGCCGTTGAGTTCGCTCGAAATGGTCTCCACCACGCGCTCGCTGATGAGTCGTGGACTTGGCAGCGGCCGGCCTGTCACGCTCCGGGAGCGGATGGATGCGAAGCCATCATCAAACGTGCTCTCGAGCAGCCGTTTAAAGCCAGTCAGCGCACTGCCTTCGCGCGGACGTTGCAGGTTGTTGCACTCTCCGTTCACTGTGCGGTAGATACTGCTCCGGCAGACGATGGGCTCCGCCACAATGCAGTTGGGAAGGAGTGTGGGCTGCGCCGGAAACGCGCTGGTACCAGCCTCCTCATTGTTGAATCTGGAGACGAGCTGCACCATGTCTCCGCCACCCTGCTCGTTAAGGGCTTGAAGTGCCAGTTGGTTCCGTAGGCCCTGCAGGCCGAGTTCCTGCACTGCCTGACTGGAACGGAAGTTGAGGTTGAAGACTCCCACTGGGGAGTCCCTGGGCGCCGACTGGCCGCCCTGCTGTATCTGATTTTGGATGTCGCGCGTGGCTTCTCTGGCCGCTTCTTGCATGTCGCCGCCTGTGGCAACCATGACGGACTGAGTGAGTACCTGGGCACTGGCGAGTGGCCGCGCAGCGTCCCTCCGGTCACCCATCCGGAAACCAAGCGAAGACGTTGCCCCCTGCATCGGATTGATGCCGCGGGTCGCTGCACATGACGCCAGTCGAGCCGTCGCCCAGCCGACACCTCTGGCGGCCGAAGCTGGGGGTCAGCCACCGCTGCCGGGCACAGCACGAGCGGCCGGCAGTTGCGTTGCAAACCACCGCTTGTGCCCGTGCCAGTGCCACCGCTCTGCGGGCAGCAAGTAGCCCCGCAGGTAGCCGCGCACCCGGCACGATCTTGCGCCCGCGGCGCGCGCCTCCGGGCATCGCCAGTCGGCTGACAGTTGCAGCGGGCGGCTCGGACTCCGTTCGAACATAGCGCCGACAGCAGCAGGCCTGCAATGGGGTGAGGCCAGGTCAGATCAAGAAGTCTGCCAGCTAGGCATGTGACGTCACGTAGTGAGATGGAAGCTTTGTAAGTCTGGAGTTGTGCGCCCGTGAGCAAGGGAATTGTTTTGGACATGCAGACGTCGAGTCAGGATGGAGGCACGGAGACCAGGCGGATATCATAAACTGGTGCCAAAGGTTTGCGAAGAGAAATATTGAATTAATGAACAGAATCGAATGAGTTACGCTCATTATTGCGAGTTTCTGGTTTGGAGATCAGGATCCCTGCATGATGTGGATGGCATACGCTGCAGGCATGTGCCACTTGGAAGCTTCGTACTCGCCAACGCAGCGCAACGTTTCACCTCACTGACTGGATTGGCTATGCAAGAGAGAGAGAGAGAGAGAGAGAGAGAGAGAGAGAGAGAGAGGAGAGGAGAGAGAGAGAGAGAGAGAGAGAGAGAAGAGAGAGGAGAGAGAGAGAGAGAGAGAGAGGAGAGAGAGAGAGAGAGAAGAAGAGGAGAGGAGAGAGAGGAGAGGGAGAGAGCGAGAGAGAGAAGAGAGGAGAGAGAGGAGAGAGAGAGGAGGAGAGAGAGAGAGAGAGAGAGGAGAGAGGAGAGAGAGGAGATGAGGGAGAGGGAAGAGAAGAGGAGGAGTGAGAGAGAGGAGGAGAGAGAGAGAGAGAGAGAGAGAGAGAGAGAGAGAAGAGAGAGAGAGAGAGAGAGAGAGCGGAGAGAGGGGAGAGAAGAGAGGAGAGAGAGAGAGAGGGAGAAAGAGAGAGGAGAGAGAGAGAGGAGAGGAGAGGAGAGAGAGAGAGAGAGAGTGAGAGAGAGGAGAGAGAGAGAGAGGAGAGAGAGAGAGAGAGAGAAGTATATGTATGTATTATATATATATATATATATATATATAATATTATATATATATATTATATAAATATAAATCAACCATATAATGCTTCTCCTTTTCGGATTCACCCTCGGGTTCCTTCTAACACCGCACAACTTGGCCACTGACACTGACACTGACACAGCGTCAGGAGATTTTTCCACAAAATGGTATTGCTCAGCTTTCATCGAGCTCCTATTTGCAACCAAAAGTAGCTGCATGCCGAAAAGAGCAAACAGGTTATCCCACCACAAAATGACAGGTGAGTGGATGCATGAATTAGCAGTAGCAATCCGGTTCCAATCAGTACCGCTAGCTTTGTAACAGCCGTGAGCAGTGTGAGGCATGCTGGAAGGACACCCAGCACACCCAGGAGGCGGGAACCGGGGGGGGGGGAGGGGGGGGGAGGGGGAGGGGCAGTGGGGGCAGTTCCCCATTTGAAAGCTTAGGGGGTGGGGCAGGGTAGCACCCAAAAGTCCATATTTGAATTGTGGAAGGCTCACTCTGACCCATTAAGCGTCCATTATGACCAAAATAGGGCAGTTATGGGCTTGTACGTAGAGAGGTCATCTGGCCTGTAGAAGGCCCATTGTTGACTGTAGAGGGCAGATTCCTAACCTCTGACCTGTGGGAGCGCCCATTCTGGCTTTACAAGAGTCCATAACAGCCAAAGAGGGACTTATTATGACATATGGAGGGCTCAACATGCATGACTGGCGCTCTGCTCTCATGACTGGCAGATGACCAATTTTGGCACGTATAGGACCCATTCTGGTCTGCAGTGGAGCCCACTCAGGCAATGTAACAGGCCTGTTGTCGGCTGCAGATGGTTCATTCGGAAGTGGGGGGGGGGGGGGGGTCTGACCAGTAGAGAGCGAATGACTGGCTGTGGGGAGTTCCTTATGGCTTGTAGAGGGCCCACTCTAACCCGTAGAGAGCCCATTGCGGTCCGTAGAGAGCTCATTCTGACCCGTAGAGGGCCCATTCTGACATGTCGAGAGCCCATTGTGGCCTGTAGAGAACTCATTCTGGCCTGTAGAGGTCCCATTCTGAGCTGTATAAGGCCTTCTCTGACTTGTGTGGGACCTGCTATCTAATTTTAGGGGACCCATTTTGACATTTTGAAGTTTGTCTCCGCCTCCCAATTTGAACATAGTTCCCGCGCTCTTGTGTGACGCAACTAAATGGAAGCCACACGGATAAGCAGTCCTGGTTTGGTTTAGCATAAACATTTACGACGCCCGTAAATAAAGTGATGATTTCGGCTGATAACGATATGCGTTTAAATCGGGTGAGCTCAAAACCGAGAATCGCATGTCGTGGTGGATTTATGACACATTGAACTGCTGAGGCTACATGGCATCACCTGCGTCTCATTTTGATAGGAAGGGTAGGAATCGCGCTGAACTGAACCGCGTTTCTTGGGTTTCCCAGCAGCAGCCTTATGACAACACTACTGGAACCCGACAAAACTGAGACTAGAGTTCATGTTTGCGAAGATCAATAGCGATGAGCAGAAGCCCTATGATTTACTTATGAGGGTCAAAAACAGACGAGTAGCTGAGTGTGCACTTGGTTCAAAGAAGGAAGGATATTCTTCGTTTAAAGCTGCTTCCAAGTCTGTTTTCAAGGTAAAAAGCCGTCCTGTTTTGGCCTATGTCACGACTTCATGAAACTATTGGCTTTCAGTTCTTTCATGTGCGTAGTTTCATAAAAGAGGGCGATAATTTTTGAAGCGATGGATGGGACTGTGCAAATGACTGAATCAGAGAGGAGGTAAATGTTTCAAAAAAGTAATGAAATATTGATGCTGAAGTTTAGCAGTTATAAATATATATTTTGTTTTGATTTCTTTACATAGAACTGCTCAATAAATCCGCTTTGGCTGTGCACAGGTTTGAGTCATGACCGACTTGTGCTGGACTTTGAACTCCGGAATGATAACTTTATTGTTGACTGGCTGGAATTCCCGCTGATGTCCGGGCAAAGAAGTACTTCACAATGCAATGAAAGGATTTGAGAATGTCTTATGTTTTTTATCTTACAATTTGATCTAAATAGCACTGAGGGTGATCCTTATTGTTCTTGTAATTAATCGCTGCGCAGGCCACAACGAAATTGCTTGCTAGTGTAAGAGCAGGCTTAATCTTTGACGACTGGTGCATTGAAGCGGTGCTCGTGCTATCCAGAATGTCTTTATCAGCCTGGACGGCCACATGATTGCCTGAGCTGTGGTCGAGCTGCTGGAATGCAGCAATCAGGGAAGCGTTCAACATTCGTGTGGGGTTTTGAATTGAAATGGATGCCCTGAAGCTCATCCGGCGCTGTTCACAGCCCAGCCCTACTTGAGACCTAAAGCTCTCTAGTTTCTGAGCTACACGTCCGCAAAGATGTGGAGACTGTTTAGAAGAGGTTATTTCAAGGTCACTGAGGCATCCATGACATCTTAATGATGTCATTCAAGTTATGTCATTCCGCTGACCATGCAGTAATCAAGGCCAAAAAATATACAATCGTCCACTCGTTCATATCTGGCGTTCGTAAGCACGATTTCCATGTAGGACGGCCATCAATTGGTTCTCAATAAACGTTATGCGAAGTACGCTGACGTATTGAGGAACATATTTACTAAGCAGAGAAATTTTGTCGTCTAAAGCAGTCTGTTTCACTTGAAAGTGCACGAATAGTTATCATTGATCTCATCTTAGCATACTTGATGCTTACTTCAAGATTTTTAAATGCGGAATGTACATTTCAAAGGGAATGCCTTACATTGAAGTAAGCATCAGATATGATAGAAGAAGCTCACTTTTAACTAGTGCTATATTTGTGAGTGAGAATGACTGCTTGAGATAAGACAATGTCTCGATTTGCGGAACTCGTGAAGTCGTTTGCGAGGAACATTATAAATTCAAATAAGACAGTATTGATAGCCTTATTCCCCGAAAAAGGACCAGGAGATGGGACAAAAAGATGCTTTGATATTCCGGCTGCATATTTCTATCAAAACGAATATCACTAGTCTACTACTATTTAATAATAAAAAACTAAAGCATTTCTGGATGCCTACTGCGAAGGTGCTATTGGGCATACTACTCAGATATAACTATATTACTACTGTAAAGTGTACCACTAGTACTCGTCTCGGTAAAGGTACGCAGTCGAAATATCAATGCATCCTTTTCTCCATTCTCTTGGCTATTGTACGAGGATAATAGTAATAATAATAAGGCTAATAGTACTGTTTTCTTTTTCTTCTTTGTAAACATGCTCCTCAAGACGCTACTGATTGATTTTATCAGCATACCTTGCACAACATTTATTAAGTGCCAATTCACGACCATATCCGGAAATCGTGCTCACAAACACCAGATATGGACGACCAGTCCTTAACATTTTTCTTGACCCTGATCACGCTGTAGCTAATGGAACGGCAGGGTTCGAATGACGTTATTATGGCGTCGCGGATCCCTGTGCGACCTTGAAGTCGTCTCCACAAAAGAGTTTGCACATCTTGACGGACGTGTAGCTTATAAACGATAAGGATTTAGGTCATAAGAAGGGCTGGTCTGTGGACTGCACGGAATGATCTTCAAGGTGGCTAAATCAGCCCAAAACCCCATATAATTGTGAAGAGCTTTTTAAATCTTTCGACCTAGGGGCTATGTCTAGTGGAGCAGCTCGTGCAAGTGAAAAACAGTGTCTTCTCCGATGTCTTGGCCAAGGCTGCAGCGATGTCTGACCTCGTTGCCGCCACACATAAAGTGTAAGCCTGGACGAATGTAGAGTTCCTATCCTGCAGCAGAGTGATATATCCAATCTTCCGGTAGCATTGTTATTGGACTTTGGACGCTGCGAAGACACAATAATCTGGGAGATCCTTATCACCAGTGAGAATCATCATGAAGGTGGCATTGTCCCTGAACGCGTTATCCCCGAAATATTGGCTTCTGTTGAATCCTTAGTGACAAGCTTGCCCAGGACCTCTGTTGAATGCTCAAAGGTCTGCCTTGCAGCCCTGTCTTGCCACTATTGCGGTGCGTCGTTGGGGACTC